ACATGAAAAATCCCCTTCAAATGACATGAAATACATGAACATTACGAATAATCAAAATAATTCATGCTTCATGCTGCACTGTGGTAGTGGGCCGCATGCAACTGTAAAAAAGAAGGGAGAAATATGTCTTTTTATGAAAAGATAATAGCTGAATCTTTCTAAACCCGCCCGTAAAGCTGCTCGTTAAAATGGGATATAAAAATTAAAGGATAAACTAGCCTGAAAACAGCTCGTTCAAACATGGAGTGACAAGTGAGCCATAAATTTAACTACGAGGCTCGAAAAATCCGGCTATTTTCTAAAGGCTATAACAGATGTAAACACGAAAAGAACTACGGACCCAAAATAGCAAAGCTAAAGGCTTTAGGGAAAGCAAAAGATCCTAAAATAGCTCGCGGACATGCGCATAAGACTGGGTTAGCAGAGCGCGGCTAAAGTGGCAGTGTCACTCGTGCGTGAGCGAGGAGGGGCTTCGCTGAGGCACTCCCTCTACAGGCTCTTGGAGGTACACGGCGCTCAGTTGCACTGAGGGCACGGCGCTGTGGAACAGAGGGCATGGCGCTCAGTGGCACTGAGGGCACGGCGCTCAGTGGCTCTGAGGGAAGGCGCTCAGTGGCTTTGAGGGCACGACGCTCAGTGGCACTGAGGGCACGGCGCTCAGTGGAACAGAGGGCATGTGGGACAGAGGGCTCAGTGGAACAGATCTAAGAGAGGGGGAGTTCACCCTAGAGACCTTCAAGAGACAGCTAGACGTGTTCCTGAGCACAGTCCCAGATCGACCTCCCCTGCAACACTACCAGCGGCGAGAAGCAAGCAACAGCATCGTGCATCAGGTGGCCCAAATGAGGGCGGATGAACGATAATCAGAGGCGGCGATCCATCGTGGCCTGGGACTGCTATGTCCCAAACAAATACTAAGGATACTAAGGATACTAAGTGGCACTGAGGGCACGACTCACAGTGGCACTGGGAGCACAACACTCAGAGGCCTCTTATAAAATCCTTGTTGAACCCACAAATGTGTATTTTTTATTATCGAAGAGCGTTCGAGATGTTTTATCTAGCCTCCTGCTTCTCGGAATAATTTTCTCGAAATGAACATGGACAAACGGGGCGAACGGGAAATTGCCGGGACAAAAATAACGGGACAGAGGGTAAAATCTATCAAGGAATAAATGTATGAACCGGGACATGACTTTACAACTTGTGTCCCGGCGCTCATGAAAAAATACGAGACAGGTAGAAATGAATCGAGAATTCACGTAACAAGACGAGACATACGAGACGAGACATTTTTTAGACAAAACGAGACGTCCTGAGCGAACAGATTAAGGAATAGCCTTTAATCGCGCCTTATGTGAGAATTGTACGAATTCAGTACGCGTTCCATACGAGTTTAGGCGAGCATCGCGAGTTAGTGACACATTGTCACTAAGTCAAACAATTAGCTGACTGTATTTGGACTGGTTGAATTCTCTTTTCTCTAGTCGTGTTAGATGCCAAGCGTCACAGGCAATATTAGTCTATCAAGTCGACCGCTGTCATCAGCAAGTACGGCCTCCTCCAGAACCTTTAAAACTACAAATGTCATATAGCAGGCGCAGGTGTTACACCACTTATCACAAGATACCCGAGTCCAAATGGAAATAAATCCAAGGGCTGTCACTCGAGACCCTGTTGCTGGACCATCTAGTGCTCCAACTGATGAACCTTAACTAGCAAAAACTCAATTAATTTATAAACTTTATCATTGAAGATTTTTCTTTACTCTTCATCATGAAAAAATTTAATGTGCATTACAGTACAACATTGCAAATGAAAAAATTATAAATATGCACATTTTCATTTTAATTTTTATTTGCCTTGTCAAGAATAAGTGCCATGTTAAATTACGATATGCAGCAAAATTAATCTTNTTTTCACCAAATTTTACCTGCTATAGATTGCAGAGCGCAAGACAAATCGTTTGCTACCATTTGCACGTTAAAACTGGCAAAACTCGATGTGTTATGATGTTTTAAAGGGGTGGGGCTAACCTTTTGCGTCGGGCTGTATGTCCCGTTACAGAAGATATAAATTCTAGGAAATTCGAAATTCCTATTTTAACCGGGACGTCTCGTCTCGGTATCGTCCCGGAATTCCCACTGAGTGCTGGAAATTATCCCGGTTTTTATTGCGAACCGGGACAAAGCTTCGTAATTGTCTCGTCTCGATTGGAAAAAAAGTTCCAAACGCAGGAGTCTAGTTTCCTCTGCTTACACTTTATTCGTGTTTTGGCACGTTAAACACGCAACTAATTAATCACCATAGAACAACGGTGTTCTGACATTCTCATGCCAACATATGTTATTTTAACATTATCTGTGCTGCCAACAGCACTATTTTACAATTGCGTAGTGGTTCATTATTGATGTTATAAAAGAACGTTTCTGAATACCATCCAGTGAAAAATATTCAGGTTGATAAAACCAAGGCTAAACCTCAGTAAACCTCAGTCCCACGCAATCATTCTTCAAAGACAGGGGACTACAGATGAACTTTTCAGCTTTAAGGTCTGTAAGATGGGGGAGGTACAAGTAGTACGAACACCAAGGCCAACCGAAGACATCACGAGAGTTCATCGGAAAGAAGTAGCGTCTACTATTACTATTACCCTCTCAGTTATTCGATCGCTTTTAGCCACACTTCATTTTTTAATAGCACTATTTGGTATATTTAATAATATTTCAGTACCCACACTTTCCGGCACAAAGTATGAATTAGAATGAAAAACTAACGTAGTACCGAACTGGGAACCCGATAACAAGGTATCGCTTTGTTAATATTATCTCAATTATCAGTGGTATCTAGAAATCAATCTTTGGACGTGTTGCCACAATTTCAAGGCGTTCAAAAATGAAATGATAATTTTTAAATTGAATGAAATCATTATATCTCGTTATAGGACTTTAGCACGAAGCTTTCATCTAATGATATTGACATTACGGCCAACAAGAGAGTCAAGGCCAGCACCAGAGAACGACAAAATCAACACTAAAAAATCAGTACTTACGGTAGGCAATAAAAAAATGAAAACATTCTACGGGTCATAACTCTGTGAAGTTCCATCGTTACTCGATTAAAATCTGCGCTGCTGTAAGCAAAGATAAGAGCTCAGCAGGTCTATCGCGGTTCAGCACAATGGGAGGAGTATTGCCTGGCCCCCATCTGCATATATAGCAGGGAACCTCACACGAATAATGAGACTTGGCTCTCTCATTTATGAGATAACTTGCTTACATGAGACGAACTAGAGAGCTTTTAAGGGACATCAGTAACTCCGGCCGCAAGCTAGCGTAACAATCATTCGAGTTCATCACTTAAAGTCGAACCCAAGTGCTCAAAATGGCAAATATTAATCAATCATCCGAAAATTGAACGATAGAATACGCAGTACTACACTGATTTAGGTCCAAGTAAAAGTTAATCTGCGAAAGGAAGAAACCAAATAAAACGCTCGTAAAATCGACAACTGCTTTCAATTGTTGGACAAAAGGAGACTTGTATCAAAAGAAGATTCATTTATTCATGAACGTCCTGTCACCATAAGAAAACTCTAAAAATTTCTCCGCAGATGGTGTAAAGAATAATAAGAAATGAGAAAGAAACTTGACATTCAAGTTTCAATCAGTTCTGTCCCCTTACGAACTATTTCCTCCTCGATCAAATCTCGGAAGAGCGCGCGAGATGGACGAGGAACTTCGCGTGCAGCGTTGAGGCTGAAGCCACCACCAGGGGGGACTATAATCATTTTAGCGCCGAACAAAGAAGCTTTTGTGAAGGCTCTGGCTCATTAGAGAGCCCTGCACATCAGCGACCCAGCGGCGGGCCAAGCGAGATATCAAATAGGAAATGCAAGCACGTTCCCCGCGAACTAAAACGTCATATTAAACGTCACGCTAATCAAACGTCATGCTCATCAAACGTCATGCTCATCAAACGTCACGCACATAAAACGTCACGCTAATCAAACGTCACGCTCATCAAACGTCACGCTCATCAAACGTCACGCTCATCAAACGTCACGCTCATCAAACGTTCATGCTCATTAAACGTTCTGCTCATTAAACGTTCTGCTCATTAAACGTTCTGCTCATTAAACGTTCTGCTCATTAAACGTCATGCTCATCAAACGTCACACTATCAACATTCAATCCAAAGAAATATCATTGAGTGACGTGCGCTCACATTAACTTCATACGGCTCGTGGCTTTCACAGAATTCATTTATTATATATGGTCTTCCAGTAATTAAGGATTGGAATGTACGTGAAAGTGCTTCGCGAATAACGATCAATAAAGAGAACAATTGAACTTAGAATTGCTTTCAACAAAGGTCGAAGTATCTTATTAGTATGCCTATGCATACGAAATTCCAGCACGATGAAAATGTCAAATTTTGTGATATTGGGACAATATTCTAGTGTTTTAGCAGTTCAAGAAAAAAACACTACACGGAACTAGATGCTAAAAAATCTAAGCGTGCACGAATGCATACAGCTTACAGGCAGCTCAACTTCTGACACGTGACACCTTGACGGGCTAAATAGGCGAGGGTTGAAAGATGGTGTACTAGTTAAAAAGTTCTCATTACTACTTTTATTGGGTTAAAAACGGCTATTTTTCCAATTTAAAATCCTTATCCTGGCCGTTAGAGGTAAAACAATATGAGAAATATGAATGAATCCATGGCATATTAAAAGTCATTATCATCAGCGCTTGACAAACGAAGTGGCGAGAATCCTGAGAGTTTCTCAGTTAGCGACTAATCAAGTAGACCTTTCTACTTGACAGTAAGCGATCTTTTTACATTATTCCACTAAACACGATTGCATATAGGAAAACAATTTAGGGTCATCACAAATATCACTGTCAAATTTACAGCATAGCTCCAAGGAGAGAGATTAATATTTAATGGTTAGCAAGGCAAAAACTTGGAAGCAAATGCTCCATGGTACTTACCGGTCAAAGATCCTGGCTTCTTTGAGGACGTTGCCAAGATTGATGTACGCGTCGAGGAAATTTGGGTCGAGAGCGACGGCTTTTTCAAAGTGGTGAATGGCGAGCCAAATTTCACCTTGAGCGTTGAACACACATCCCAAGTTACTCCAGGCTACCGCGAAGTCAGGCCTGGTTTCGATTGCTTTCAAATAGCAGGCCTATTGAGGTACGTAAGGGTCGGGATGCGCCGTTTGCAAGGCGCAACAGAAAGTACGACAGAACAGATAGGAGTAAAGATGTGGTGTAAGATAGTAGATTCAAGGTAATGTGGAGAAAAGTATACGACGGATAGCGAGAGATAGAAAGTGAAGAGAAGAAAAATAAAACAGCATTAGTATTCAGATTATTTGTAGGTATTAGATAGCCCTAAGCGCTCGCTTTTCGCCTCGATCGTGGCGCTCGCCCGAAGCGCCGCCTCTGCGCGGTGCCGCACTAACCTCGGTGCCGTGAGGCCAGCCGTCCTGCGAACTTGGCAGAGCATCGCGCTGGCCGGTAAAACGGCCACAGCGATGCAACAATCCAAGTTCGCGCTTAATATTCACAAGTGTTTACGTACTAAAGACAGCAATTATAGCGCTGAAAGTTAACGCAATGGCTGGACATAACGAACACACTGAGGTCAGGGCACCAGAATTACGCCTGTATGCGCCCGCGAAAGCATTGGCCCTGTCAAGCTACGCGCAACGACGCACTATCACATCTTACAGTGAAAATAACGCACCATGTAATGTAAGAATTACGATTAACACTTTCCAACATCGCCACCAGCAATCATCAGGTATTGTGACTTTACTTTAATGGACAAACAATTAACTTGAACATGAACAGCTCCTGAATCAACCTAGTCAAGTGGACGACCGAACAGAACTAGTCAAGGGAAAGATTTCCAACAAAACTATACGTTTAAAAAACTTTAATTGAAAGTTAAGCTGTTTTAGGGGTCGTCACGACTTCTAAATAAGACGAGCAACAATACCAAACGTGATGAAGGTGGCGGGGGCGCGGGTCTACGAATGGCATGATACAAACCACAGTAGGCGGTGCTGCACCCTATACGAGAGACGGGGGCGCCCAGGGTAGGTCTCCTCGTGACGCTGCCCTGCATACATCCTCTAACTCTTTACATCACCAAGATGGGGAAGAGAGTAAAAACATCATCAGGCATTAGCTAAATGAACAGTATTACAATCAAATCCGTCATCAATAGAAATTCAATAGTCCAGATAAATCAATGGCTGCAACGAACGGAATATGTTACAAGCGATAGTTGTTGTCAACACGTCAACAGTTCCATAAACAAAACTGCTGCTAAGGTTGACAAAAACTATCCCATTACGACTTGAAAAATTCGCAATTTTTGCTCAACACGACAATATGCTCAATTAGATTGATTTCTTTATTGGCATGTGAAGGTGTTTCAAAATGCAATTCGCAGGATAGCGATGGACTGATTCTTCAAGTCATAATAGATTCCTAATGATCACATTTCAGCCTAAGATTTGTAAGAGAAATTTTCAAAAGCGAGAGGTGGCGCCCGCATCGAAAAGAAACTCAAGTGAAGGAGCTTGCAACTTGGACCTGCGCTCCGTACATCACAGACGTGCTCGACCTGACAAGCCAGAGGCTGCGTCACTCAAATGCATGTCATGAAATGTGTTCTCAAGGCCACATTAATATACTAATGTTCATATTAGGTTTACGAGCTTCAATGGGATTAACGAAATCAAGACCATTAACTCTTTCAATCAATTTAAAATAATGAACGAAATTTTAGTATCTACGCACCCATCGGTTGCACAATTTATTATTTTGGAAACCTCTCAGGGAAACCCAGAAAGTTTAATATTCTCTTCGTAATTTTGAAGCAAGTTAATGCACAACGATCTCGGCTCATGCTAACGGAATAATTCATCTTGTATTTGAGTTCTATGGCAGTGAGGAATAAACTAAAACAATTAGCTAAATATCCTACAAGCAGTGTTCAATAACATTGCTTTAAGACTGGCCAGAACACGTACGGTCATGACAGAGCATTTGAGTAACAGCAATCAACTGACACAACGATGCCGCAGATACATAAACGAATTAAAAGATTCCAAACGAGTTCATCGAGCGAGTTCATCGAGGCATGAGCTTTGCCTATCAGTGGGCGTGTTGATCCTGCAACTTATCAGCTGCAAGTAAAAGAAAGTAACGCACAGGCCAAGCCTGCCATGAAGTTATTCAGGAAGATGGGAGTCACGCTAGGAGCTTCAACGAAAGCGTCGCTCAAGCCACACAAGCGCGAGACCCTGGCATGATATCGCAAAGTAGTTGCGCTCTTTTTATTGATAGCAATTAGTATCTTCATGGCATGCCAAGCTTGAAAATGGCCGTCATAATTCCCGAGCACCATGAGGGACGGAGTAATTTCGTGGGCATCAGCGTGAGGTCGCACGAAATTACCCGAGAGTTTGTTTGTCCACAAGAATAGAAGTCATATGAACCAAAATATGATGAGCAGTGGTAAATTAATGAATAAACAGCACTCAAGAGTGGCCTACTAAGTGCGCAGGAAGCCACTCTCTCAGCCGACATCAGTTTCTCGAGGGCAAACAAACATTCTTATCGCCCCTGTGGGATGCTAAGTTCGTCGCTTCGCTTAAAGCGCTCGCGCACACACAACGTCAGCGTGTGAGCTGCTACAGTCTCACTCCAGCTCACTCTCCTCCACCTCAATGATGTGGCTTTGCATTTACTTAGTCGCTCACATGACAGTTTTTCTTGTGTAAAGATATGCACAAATAATTCTTCGAATAGCAAATATACTGGGCCTCCTGACACGAGATATAATCACGTTTGCAATAAGAATGTTCCTGATAAGTCAGCCTGGGCATAGAGAAGCGTCTCTAGGCCAGCCCACAGGTAGACAACTCGACAGCGTGTCTGTCAGCCGCCGCAGTCACGGGCTCGTCAGGCCGCAGCAGCTGAGGACAGATCTGACGAGTAATGACATGCATTCACAACATTCAAATACTTGCAAAATTCCTTCTTCTGGTGTGGAGAAACAAACAAATTGACACACGAGTAGCAAGATGCATTAGCGATCTGTCAAAAATAACTATGCAAACAGGGATATGTTAAGGATAATATCCAGCATATCCTGCGTCTGGAGGCACAAATGGTGGAGAAGAGAGTGGTGTGAAGCTGCTACTGCAGCACTCAATCTCTGAAAACTGTTACGGCAAAAAAATATTAGGCTCCCGTGTAGAGACACTCGAATGCACCAACTGATAGGCAAATAATATACCTCAGCACCCGACCGTACTTATAGCAAACTGCGTCCGAGGCATCTTACTCGGGTGACCACCGCATGCACTCGAGCTGTTCGTGTCACATCATTACAAAAAGAATTGATGAGGCCGTGTAAAAACTAATTAAGTTAAATTTAAAACATTTCTGTTCACTTTCAAGTGAAAATTTGAGATTGCAACCAAGATTGAATTAACTCCGTTCATTTTAAATCTCATTTAAGAATTATATGGTCCAAACAGTCATTACATGGAGATCCTCAAAGTTACCCGCGGCAGCTCTACATCTCCAGAGAATATGAACCACAATTTTACTCTACGTGCTAGTTAATTTTGACGAGTGCAGTAGTAATTCTGATTATAATATAGGCTTATTTCTCTGTAAGTTTGTAAATTTGACTCAAGTTGGTGAAATAATCCCGGCATGACTGAGGACATGAGCAGCAAGAGTGGCATTTGGTGAGGCACACTAGACGCACAAAGCGCAGGTACAACACAACTGAGTGCACCAAATGCCGGGGTGTGTAGGGCAGGGGTATCTTAACAACGCCAACAAGAGGTTAACATTCATCATAGATGGGCAGATAACTACCACTAAAATAAATAGCAGTACAGTACTTTAGTTCTGTTCGGAAATTAATTTACTGTTGACATGCGCAACTGATGCTGGCTAAAGATATCGGAAAGCAATCATTGACGAGTCCGGTAAGTTAATAAAGCTTGTTTATGCTAACAAGTTTAGCAGCAGTTAATGTAAATGATGTTAAGGATTCATGTAAATAATTATTTACTGGATAATGGAGTAGGAAGGGAAAATAGTAAAGGCATCGTAGACCACACTGCCGAACACAGCCCCAACATCCCCTCAATTAAGGCACACAAATACCAGAAGATAAACAATATAAGAGCGGGCCCACCTCTCGCGTCATCAGCACAGGACTTCTAAAGTAAAACATGCCACATTACTCTAGTCTTTCCAATAGATCTTCATGCACATATTATTGCCAGCACACATCTTTCACCAGGTCTCATCAGCATATATGATATTACATTAAATATTATTACTGTAAAAATATTACAGCGCTAATAGTATGAAAGGAAACAAGTTACACACACAAGGGAAACAAAACTGTCACCTACATGCTGGGTTAGAATAGCGGTTTATCTTACGTAGGTCAATGGAATAAAAGTTAGGATAGAGGTCAATATTTCGTGGGTTTGCAGAATAAAAAAACTTCCCGCTTAAGTGTCTGTACACACTATTAATGACTGAGAATTAATGAACTACCATCAGAATCTACCTATATTATGGAACTAAAATAGCTGCTATGATATTCTCTACTAGCCTCCTCATAAATTTTTGCAAAAAAATTCTCATCCACGTAAAACTAATCAAACAAATGAGCAATTAATGAATAATTTGCAGCTGCTGAAATACTTTCTAATTTAGAGTTTCTCTACATATGATGATAGTTAGAATGGTTTAAAGTTGGTGTAATGATATGCATAGTTTTAGGTCTTCTGGAAATCTTCAAAAAAAATTGTATGAAAAAATCCAAATTAATCATCTTCCTACTAAGCATATAAATATGATCACGTGAAGCCAAAGCCAACATCAAATGGGACACGGTCACCATTCTCGGTAATCACAACCTGCTGCTACAATAGCTTACTTATAACGTTATATTATGGGAAGAGTTAAAGACTTGCAAAATTGTCGATGGTAATCCAGGCTGTAGCTATCCAAATTATCTTCACCAGGTTTATTATCTTTATAAAGAATTTACCTACGTAAAATAACGAGTTCGAGTTGAATGACCTCTCAACTGAGAAACAAACTAAGGTCTCTCCACATTAAGACTGTGAGGGAGCAGCTAGACTTTAAATCAAGTGGAATGAAGAATTGTTTGGCAGCTTGCAGAGCAATGCAGTCGCGTCGTCACAAATAAAAAGGAGTCAGAGAACAAGCAAAACAAAAAGTACCAGTATGGGTAGAAGTAAAGAAATTAAAAGGGTACAATTAGAAGAAACTCATAGATGACCAAAACAGAAGGTAAAACAGAACTAAAACAAGTGGATAATAACTAAGAAGATACGTGAAGGGACGATAATAATTGTTCTCAAAGAATAATGGGGCACTTGATATGAAGTGACTGATGCTTACCTTCGCTTCATCTAGCCTTCCAAGAGCCTTCAGCAGGTTACCCAAGTCGCTGCGCACACAGTACAGTTCCTGAAACATAAAAAGAGTGAGCACGAATATCCCAGGTTATTTAATCATTTTTTTTTAATTAAGCATCTACATTACCAAATCAAATGAATTCTATAGCATAATATCTTCTGAAACAAATAATTTATTTTCTGGTTAGCAGGTTTAGCATTAGGCGTTATCATTAAGATATAAAACTGACTGGATTGTACTGCAGCATTAGTCAAGTGGGAATGCACTGCACTATCATCGAGGCAACTGACTGGATTGTACTACCGCATTAGTCAAGTGGGAATGCACTGCACTATCATCGAGGCAACTGACTGGATTGTACTGGAGCGCAGAGACGTAGGCCTGCACAGCTTGCTCCATGTCGTTGGCTGACACCAGAGCCGCGGCCAGGTTGATGTAACCATCAATGAAGTCAGGCTTCAGGCGCACAGCGTGGCGGTAGTTCTCAAGCGCTTCCTGTATCACATCAACTAGTTACTCTTAAGGAACATATAGTGTAAAAAACTCCATAGAAATCTTCAATAAGTTCACATCAGAAACACTGAATTTAGCTTGAAAGTTAAGTACATATTAGCAGCATAAACCCGTACATTTCACAAGACTCTACTAAATAATCAAATTCAACAAATACAATCCTGATCATTGACAGACAATGCAGCTAATTTTTTGCTGCCTTGAAAGCTGACCTGAAGTTGACCTCTTTCCTTGTAGACATTGCCAAGATTACTGTAAGCTTCAGCCAACATAGGATTCTGTTTGATGGCAAGCATTGAAAAATGGGCAGACCTGTAATGGAGAGACATTGAAAAATATCATTGAAATAAAAGATCATAATAACAGAATATTTTGAATAAATTTACTCTATACAAGAATCAAAATTAATGGACCATTGCTGACTGGGCAGTTTATTCAATTAAATACAATATAAAAGAATAATGACACTCAAGAAATAAACTCATAAATTCCAGTCAAATTCAAAGTCTAGACCATTTGAATTTTAATATCAGCTTAGAGCAAAATGAACAATGATTCTGTAGAAGTTCATGACAAACAGATGCCAATAATGATAAAGTTACAAAGCAGTTACATAAATATGGTTGAATTACTAAAACTGAAAACCTACCTACTCAAGAAAAATAACAAAACTTACTTGTCTAGTTTGCGACACTGGAAGTGTATTGAAGAGAGAAGTAAAAGGATGGCAGTATTTGTAGGGTCTTGTCGCCACAGCTGCATGCAATGTCTCTCAGCATTATCATAGTCACCGGTCTGATACTCTCTGTGAGCAAGCTCGGCAAGACCTGTTCAACATGAAAACATGGTGAGATATGGACCACAGGTAGAAGTATATTAGTGCAATTATGAATCAATCAATGCTCAGCAAAGAATACATACATAATTGAAAAATCAACTTGAAGACTACTCGCCATTTTGTTTTGGAATAAGATAGGCAAAATCTGTCAATTACATTTTCAAGCCGACACCTGGTTGCAACTTTTATGCAAGTAAAATTTTTTTTATACGGCAAATATTTTTTTGCTCCAGACCTTAGCAGAAGTAACTTTGCAAAATAGCGTTTTTCACCATTTTTTTTCAGGAATTTTTCAAAGCTAGTAAATGTAGTATTTTTTGACTTCCTTTATACTACATAGATAGGAAAAATGTTGACATTTACGCCACTATTTTTAGTTTTGCAATATTCCAATTAGTTTTGCTACAACAACAGTTTTATGCCGTGTCAGAGGCCTGTCCCGAGTAGCCCCGGTTGACGGTATATATACCTTAAGGGGAGCATGTTGGACAAAAATAGAAAATTTTGGCTTCTTGGGTTTTTAGTACAATTTTAAAGATCCAGAAATTGCAAATCCAGCCATACCAAAGCCACAATTGTATGTACATTTGTTTGTTGACAACAGCCATCAAAGTGCATGTAAAACCAATACCTTCAATGATAACAAATTACAATTTTTTGGCTTACCACAACGCTTGAAATTTTCTGATTGCAAACCTATCTCCTCCTATGATTTTCAAGCTACAGTATTGAGAGACATACCATTCAATTTGTAAGGAAAATCTCTGGAGATCCAGTCATTTTTTTCAATTTCTTTATCATTTTGATTACTGGTATATATTTAGAAAAGGAGGGAGGGGTCAAAATTGAAAAAAATTCAAAGAATAAGAAGAATATAAGAACTAAAAAAAAAATTAAAAATGACCAGGTGATCTTTACATCTGGTCTCTGCACATCCAACAATATTTCTCTTGAGTCTCGATGATGTAGCTTGAAAATCTTTGGAGGAGATAGATTTTTACTGTACCCCCCTATTTTACCATTTTCTATGAATTTTACATTTTCCTTCCCTTTTTGAAATAATAGTTACATGAAAAAAGTCATTGATTTTATATTTTACAAAGGTGTACCAAGTTTCAGAATTCTCCATCTGTTAATAAAAGTTTTTATTGGCCAACATGCTCCCCTCAAATGTAAAAAAAATATTAGTAAAATGACCACAAATTCGTTAATGACCACCTGCTCAATCCAAATATATCATCTCCCTTGAGACAGATAGACCACGTCCTGGGTCAACTGATCAAAGCTGATCTGTTCAAGCGTTTTCCTTCCAAATATAATATATAATTAATTAGGGCAAGTAATGTTTATTGTTTCACTCAAATTCATTTTCATCCAGTTTATTTCATGCCTTTTTTACACCTTCAAAAAAGCACTTCAATTTCTTCATGTACATAATTTTGGAAGGAATTTGTCACTTTTAAATTTGTACTAAAAAGTAAGCCATTTATTAATGTATATAATGTTCAAACAGGCTTTTATTACCTATTATTTCCTACATGGACCTACAAGCCAGCAAAATTAAAAAATGGTTTTGCAGAAACCAACCACTCGGCTGAAAATATTGAATTTGACAAAATTCCTAGCTGGGCCCCATATATAGTATATAAATGTTCAAAAATATTACATATGAGCTGGATTTAATTGTATTTTCCAAATACCATACTGAGTTTATGAGATGATCCTAATTTACTCTAAGAGCCAAAATCTAAAAAGATTACAGAACCCAAGTTTCAAATCAATTTTATGAACTCGGTTAATTTAAAGCAAGGAATATAAAATATTCAATTATATTTTAGCTTAAAAACAAAGAATGATGAATGTGAATGTAAACTTTCAAGTTACCAACAATAAATTTAGTTTTTAGAACTTTTATGGCTTTCTAATGTCTAGTTGAGAAACTGCAAAATGCAAATTAAATTCATGCAAGCATTAAGAATGACAATGAGCATACATTTTACAGCCTTAGATAGACTTGGAGTTGGAGCAAACATAAAATTTAAAACAATTGTTTCACATCAAGTTTTCACCTCCAATAATTAGGTGATGTATATAAATAACCAAAAAGATGATCAAATATCCTGAAAACCACAAGAAACACAGAAAATAAATTTTTATATGAAGGAGATATCTGGTAGAATTGTGCTTCATTATTTTAATTTCTTTATTCCACATTAATAAGATAGTTTTGAAACAACTAGAGGGAAGTAGGAAATAAGTTAAAAGGACCTAAATTTGATGCCAATAATCTTGCCAAAATTCCAGCCTGCCTAGTTGCTGGCCTTCAATAGAAACAGTATTTTATAAACAAAAGTGAAACATCTTGCCAGTGCAGTCAAAATGGTTTTTGCTGACTGCTGGAGCTGAGTACTAGCAACTTAGCCTAATTAGGTATGTGGCATTGATGATGGTAATAAATGAGGAAAATGAACCAGTAAAACCACTATAGTATAGGTATAATGAGTTTTACCAGTTTTTTTGCAACAAAATTTCAAATTTTTAATGAATGCATGCTAAAAATATAGGATTATGAAATATTGCTTTGCCTTTTCAATGCAAAATGGCAATTGGAAAATATTGTTTTAAATTCCTAATCCAGTAATCCTGAATTGTTCAATCATCAATGGCTCACTTAGCTAGCCTACCCATGCATTGAGGAAGAAAAATCCAAAAATGCACAAAAGAAAACTTTTAATTCAACTGATCAACTGTTTTTGATCACTTATTTACTAAAAAAAATTACAAGCAGACAAACTCAATGAATAGGTATCTTGATAGAAAACTGACCACATCACGCTAATAATGGCATAATGCTAAATCAGTAAATGCTACAATGCTACCTACCTACCTACAAATAGGCTATCACTCCATTTTTTTGTAACATGTACGTAATTACGAATTTTTACGATATACTTCACTATAGAATAGCACTAAGCAGTAAGCATAATTAAAAAATACGTAAGTATATTCAAGTTTAATACGAAACAAACTGCGAATAATCTAGCAAATTCGCAGGTTTTAACTGATTAGGTATGTTACATTGTTACTTACTAGGTAGGTATACTCGGCAATTAAAAGATCGCCATTACGACTACGGTCAGCCTAGGCCGACGAAAGAAAGCGTATGAAATAAAGACTTACTTGCATAACTAATTGTAGTGGTAGTGGGTACTTGGGTCGACATCGTAACAATTTATCACAAATACAGCAAATATCATTCACGACAAGCGCAGGGTAAATTAATTTGGGTTAGCCTATGATGAATTCAGACGCGGAGCAAAGCAGCGCTATATTCCGTTACTCTATACACCAGACATTGGTGCAGCATGGCTAGCTTTTCAGCAGCTTGTGCACACATGTGCCAAATCTCAACTTTGGACATGTTGCTCTAAAGTGCCACATATGCACAGAACTTAGGAATAAGCTAAAAATTAATTATTTGCCTTTTTACAAGTGTTCATCAGTAAATACGAGTGAAAAATACATAGTATTTAACAAATTGTATAACAAGTAGTCTCATGAAGTGTCGTATTCATCTTTACTGTCGGTGTAATCGTAAACTCGTATATTGCAAAAAAATCGTGTACGAAAAATATTGCTAATATAAATTTGTTCAATTTACCGTTACTAATTACTGAAATGTAGATAGTGATTTTCTAAAGAATTGTTTGCGCTTCGATTCTCAGAAACTACGCGTAGAAATCCAATTCCATGCAAGAGGCATTTGCCGCGGCATCGAATTCAGGCATTTAGGAGTCGGTTTAAACTCGTTTGCGAAAAAAAAATAAAAATAAAAAAATTTGAGAAAAAGGATTAGATTGATTTAAAGTGTCACGTGTCTCCCACTTACCTATGGATGGTATATGCTGTGCTGCTCCACTGTTGTTGGATTGACTCGATTTTACTACCATTTTCACTGTTTCTGAGCTCTGCGGTTGTTGCGACATGCTCGATTGTTTCAAAGAATGATACACTAATAATGTCAAGAGAGAAATACTTCCTTCTCTCACAGTCTTCGATGTGATTCTCTCGGCAGAATCTGCACGATCCCTAGGCTGAGGGAGACACCACAGGAAAATCAATAGTGAACGCGTGCACAACCGAAGAAAATAGGAAATTTCCACTAGTCCCTGCAGGGGTTGAGAGCTTCCTTGATGTCAATTGCCCAAATTTTTTAGATAACTCTGGCGTTGAATATAATATTCGGGTTATATGTCGGGTTTTCGGACCCTAAGGTTGTTTAACCTGGAATTATGATCGCTGGTTATTGCATAGAGTAAACACGCCAGCAAGGCATGTCATCAGCTCTCATCGGTGTACCCTCACTGATAGAGGATTATCTGAGTGAATATTAGATATGTGATTTACAGTTATCATTACCTAACAAATCAATATCTGAAGTTGAGGGTTAAAGTTTAGAGTTCATACCATAAACGTTATACATGTTGTATGTTATGAGAGCAGTCTTTTTTCGCTTATTTTAACCGGTAACTCTTTGCCACACAAATATTTTTTTTTTGCCACACGCTATCTCTACTGAATGAAGAATGACTAAACTAGCAAATAATTGCAGCTGGAATTGAAAATTACTTAAAATAAATTCCTAAACTTGCATACAAAATTAAAAATACTCTTTAAAAAAAGTATGAAAAAATTTAACTGGTAACATGCATATTTCAATAAAAAATGTCTATAAATGCTTAATAATAAAATATATTTCGAGAATGACATTAGCATCACGAAATAAATACACGGGTTTTGCACACCCAGAAGGAAGGCAAGTAAATTTGGCAACGTTGCAAGTGATGCGTTGTCAGATGAAATGTACCTCTCATTTCCATTGTAAATATGCTTAAAATTATAAATGATAAATGAATTTAATTTAAACTTATTAATTTCGATAAAATCATTTAAGGCTTTTAAAAAAGAAAGCTCCGGATCATGCACTTAATTTACCGCTATCTATGAGCAGTGGCGAAATTGGGAGTTATTTGGGACCATTCGCAATGCAGTTCTGTATTTTTGGTTACACATTTGCACAGCATGATTTGAGGCTTAGTTGCTGATTTGAAGAGTAAAATATAGAGCAGAAATGCCGAGATATTCATAAGGGTAATAATACAAAGGTCTTGCGACATTTATTTATATATAAAATATAAAACATTTTCAAATTTTTTTAATCTCATCATAGAACATTTAACGAAACGGAGTAAAAATCTGCTCCAAGTCATGAAACGCTAACAATTCATGCAGTCTTTCATTCAACAACAACACACACACTGAATGCATAGTGACACACGATAGTACTATAGAAACGCGCAAAGAGAGTTACAGCTTTTTTCCGTTTATCAACACAACAAAATTGATCTCAATGGAATCATGCTGAATTGTTTAAAGGCGCGTATCGAGCATATAATTAGGTGATAAGTTTACGCAAAAATCGCATTCGAAATTTTATTCACATCAGAGATAAAGTATATATTATACCCCGTTGATGCATGCAAATTAAAAAAAAACAGTAAATNTTATCTTCACCTTATTCATACGGCTTCATTCTTCTGAACACGAAAATTTACAGGATTGCTAGTTCAAGGTATCAACTATCAGTTCAAGTTCACGTTATAGAAAATTTATCGAAACCAGGGTACAGATAAACCAGGGTACGGATAATCAGTGTAGTTGTACAGTGGGATGTTTAAGTCATAATTGAGGGTGAATAAGCCAGCCAAGCCTGCAATAAGCCTGCTGTTGGTTCGATGCCTCGTCCCGAGCATGAATGTCTAGTTATTTGCTTACAAGTTCATCTCGATTACATCATACATTTGATACATTTGCTTATAAGTTCATCTCGTTCTGAAGCTGATACAGCAGCAGGGAATTGTTATTTCCACAGCAGAAATATAGGTGCACCCACTCAATATGCGCGAGTAGCACTGGACAAACAGGTCGTGCGTGTACTGCGTGAGATGTCGTGGCGGCACTCATTGGTCGTGCGTGTACTGCGTGAGATGTCGTGGCGGCACTCATTGCTCGTGCGTGTACTGCGTAAGGATGTCGTGGCGACACTCATTGGTCGTGCGTGTACTGCGTAAGGATGTCGTGGCGACACTCATTGGATCGTGCGTGTACTGCGTAAGGATGTCGTGACGACACTCATTGGTCATGCGTGTACTGCGTAAGGATGTCGTGGCGACACTCATTGGGTCGTGCGTGTACTGCGTAAGGATGTCGTGGCGGCACTCATTGGTTGTGGGTGTACTGCGTAAGGATGTCGTGGCCCGATGTCGTGACGAGGACCGTGTGCTCGAACTGCGCGGCGCGGGCGTCGTCGCGCGTCATTGCGGTCCATCCGTCGTCGAGGATGACGACGCCCTCAGCGCCCTGCGTCACGACGGGCTCTACCGTGAACGTCATGCCCGCCTCCATCAACGTCTGGTCGTTGTTCGCTGCAATGCAGGACATGGCTTTAGTAAGCAGATGATCTTATTACCATTATGGCGTCTTACGACATAACCTTAACATTATAACATCATTACAACATAATTAAAACTCATCCGTGAAAATTCTATTTTATAACATTATAACGTTAGCATCATTACAACATACTTTAAACTCCCGTGTGAGCATTGGTCAAGGTACTTATAAGCGTCATGTAATCTTTACAACGCATTCAGCGTGCCTACCGATCATATCATATAGCCCACGGGGCACCCCTCAGAGTATCAGTCTCCCCTTCCTCCCACCAGCACAGCTCCAGGGAGCGAGCACCTCACCGACCACCAGCACAGCCCCAGGGAGCACCTCACTGACCACCAACACAGCCCNACCAGCACAGCCCCAGGCAGCACCTCACCGACCACCAGCACAGCCCCAGGCAGCACCTCACCGACCACCAGCACAGCTCCAGGCAGCACCTCACCGAAGTGGTACACGTCCGGGGGGCCGTGGAAGTAGGAGCCGATGCCGTGGCCTATGAACACCGGCACCACCGCCAGCCCCGCCGCCCTCGCCACCTCCTCGCATTTCTCGCCTGAAGCGATAATTACATTACAAAATATAACTCAGTACTCACTGCAGTGAGTGACAGTGCATTTTCTCGTCGACGAAAACGTAAAGTCACGGACGGACGTGGCGAGTACAATAGGGTATTTTTTCATAAATGAGAAAATGCGCTAAAAAGGTTATAAATGCTAGAAAAAGTATTGGTTTAAAAGTGGTTCATTTCTTTGTCTGACATGCCAGCAACTAGATTTGTGATGCTTATGTAAATGAATATAATATAGCATCAAAATAAAATGTTACATTGAGCAAGATTTGTCATAAGCTTCCTTATTTCTCATCAAGATCAATCTCGATATTCACATACAAACGGCAACTATCAAGATTATCAGTACAGCCTCAAATTAACAGTAATATTTTGATCAACCAGCGTATCAACATCAACGAGAGCGCCTCAAGAGCTATCAGTTCACCAAGCACCGTTGAAATAACTATAATAGAGAGTTTCAAGTAAAACAATTGCTAATCAACGTTATTTCAATGAAAACAATAGGTCATCAACGTTATTTAAAAAAACTGATAATCAACGTTATTTCAACAAAAACAACTGGTAATAAAGGTTATTTAAAGGAAAACAACAAGTAATCAATGTTATTTCAAGGAAAACAATAAGTGTAATCAACGTTGTTTCCAGAAAAACATTTGGTAATCAACGTTATTTCAACAAAAACAACATGTAATCAAGGTTATTTCAATGGAAACAACTGGTAATCAAGGTTATATCAACAGAAACCTCTGGTAATCAACATTATTTCAACAAAAACAACTAGTAATCAACATTATTTCAACAAAAACAACTAGTAATCAACATTATTTCAACAAAATCAACTGGTTCTCAAGGTTATATCAACAAAACAGGTAATCAAGGTTATTTCAACAAAAACAACAGGTAATCAACATTATTTCAACAAAAACAACAGGTAATGAACGTTATTTCAAGGAAAACAACAGGTAATCAAGGTTATTTCAACATAATGCAGGAGGTGCAGAGTGCGGCAGCACCTATACGCGCTAGAGGCACGCCAGGCGCGCAGACGGCGACGGCCGCGTCACGCGCCTGCCTGGCGACGCGCACGAGATGGCGCGCCCTGGCGTCCGCCCCCTCCAGGCACCACGTGTCGCAGCAGTCGCCGTGGTACCCTCCGTGGTACACCTGCAATGTGGTACACCTGCAATGTGGTACACCTGCAATGTGGTACACCTGTAATGTGGTACACCTGTAATGTGGTACACCTGTAATGTGGTACACCTGCATGGATGTTCACCTCTTTCTCTACAGCATAAACATATTCCCTTGCTTATAACATGAATCATTAGCATAAACTTATTACACTATATTATACATATTAACTTGTATAGCTGCCAGAGCTGAGGACGGCAGAATATAGAGGCGGCGACCCAGCCTGGCCTGGAACTGCTACATTTGAAACACATATTAAGGATACTATCAGCAATCCATTCAAATTACCATCATTGTAATTAAGGCGGTGAGCTGGCGAAGACTGCTTAGATTTACATATAACTCCAAAATTTTTTACACTATGAGCCCTTAGCCTGCGCTACAATCAAGTAGGAATAGAAAAGTAATTTCATCATTTACTAAGAAATCAACTGCGACCAGCGTCCAAAAGACAGCTACGATAACAAAGATAACTAAGCAATAATAAATAAAGTATACACATTCAACAGTCCCAACNATGATGTCGCCGTGCTGCAGAGCTCTGTTGTCAGGGATGCCGTGGCACAGCACGTTGTTGACGCTCGTACAGACGCTCTTGGGGAAGCCTCGGTACATCAACGGGGATGGGAAGCTGTCCCGCTCTATGATGGCAGCATGGGCCACACGGTCAATTTCTTCCGTTGTCACGCCAACCTACTGAAACAATTCCATATTACATGCATAATTCAAAAACAATTACTTAAAAATGCTCTTGATGATTTATCTTATTCATTATTAATTTTCAGCTTATATAACGCAATAATAGGACAAAAAAAACAAGCAATTGGTTTTGCAAACTTGCTCATTGACTGCAAATATTATGCACTTTGAATGAAGAGTTGATAACACAGGTATTGCTGGATATAAGCAGCTAGGCTGAAATATGAACCTACTTCTGCTTGTAAGTTACTTGAGTGGCTGTAAGGAAACAAAGGTTATTTATAAGTATACATATATATATATATACCTCTTAATTTATAAAACACATTTTTAGAATATTTCTTTGTGCAGCTCCTCAGAAAAAAGTATAGAAGAACAGTATAAACTACAGTATAAACAAATCTATTCTAATCACCCTTGGAAGACAGTTAATAATCTATCAGGTATAAACCTGGTAGGTACTATAAATGTCAGGAGTGTGATTCCCAGAACGAACCTGAATAGTTTTAGCAAGCTCGTCCATGACCTGGCGTGCAATGGCACAAGCACGTCTCATTCCTTCTATCTGGTGATCTTGTTTGATTTCAATTGTTGCTGGGGATGGTAGGGGGCGGCCATGGGGCCAGTGGGGCGGTGTGGCTATGTGGGGAGGGATGAGGCCACCGGGGCTCACTTCCCCTGGCACTTTGACTACATCATACTTACCAAAATCAGGTCTGAAGAAGAAACTATGTCACAAATTTATTTTTCACTTATCAGGACTTTTTTTAATACAGAGAGGCAGTACAAGACATCTAAGAAATAAGAATTTCTAATAATTCACTTATCTTTTTCATACGTATCCAATATAAAATACTTTTAATAATATTTTCAATCAATATAATCAAACTTTAAGAATAAGTCATTTAGGATAAATCTGACATTAGTTTTCAATTATTATTTAATGCAGGTTAAAAGCAGATCTCATTAGTTCAGGTGAGTATTCCCTCCTTTGGTAACATTAAATTTCTTATGTAGGTACTTTCAACCTTGGCTTTCAGCAGTGACTATGGCCAATGTCAAGAGACACTCTTCATTTGAATCATTATACCAGTACATTTTACAAGGAAGTTTTCTCAGCTTATAAAAATGCCATTGCAAATTTCTAAACAATTATAAACTTGAATATAATGGAAGTTTATCAACTTTGTCACCATTTTGAACTTACTTCAGAATATTTCCAAAGAGTCGAACTTGACTAGCCGCCAAGAATAAAGGAGATCTGCTAACTTTGCAGCAAATTTTTGCATGTAGTGATAGAAGCATGATGGATTGTGATCTGTGAAACATTATTATACTTCACCCTGCACAAACAAAATAAATATGAGAGTAGATTTCCATTTAATTGAAATATTTACCAAGATGCTAGATGTTTAAAAATTACAGATACTAACATAATTAGTTTCAGCAAATGCTAACTTCTACTTGATTGATTAATGCTCCAATGCTGATAGAACAGAAACACAGTACTGAACTACATACAACAACACAGTGGAAAAAGTGCTATGATGAACAGTAATACATTAGTTAAGAAACAATACAGTTGAATACACTGCTGTTAAATTAATGACAGTCATAAGTCAGCAGATACTACACAGTACACATGCATTGCTGCTTGTCAATACTCAGTTGTAACTTGTCCCTACACCACCCCAGCCTCCCGGCTACCCTATCATCACCCAGACGTTGGGGCCCCCATTCCATGAAACACATGCCTCAAACCCCCTTTCTGCAATAATAGTGCCATTGGTCTCTCACCAGTCACCAGGACATCAGCTGATGGAGTCAGGAGAGGTCCCCTTCCCACTTCCCTCCCCCCCCTGACCAGGATGGACAATTGCTTGAAGGAACCCCACACCAGATCGGCAATGGCATGTTGGTGCAGATAGTTTCCAATTGCATTGGAATTGGCAGTAGAACAGTGGCTAGTATCAAAATTGCTTAGACAAACATTGCCCTATTCAAAAAACTTAATGACTTAACATAATTAACTTAGTTAACTATAGAAATTAAGTTAGATGTGAATTAGTCACTCGCTCCATAGCATTCCATCTACCGTGATTTTACTTCATCACACTTACAGTTTTCAAGAAATATTGATGAGAAGAATCATTTGTTGATCTTTGCTGGTTCGCAGGTTTCTGAGGAAGTCGATCGGCAGATTTAAGGCCAGTAGTCACAGTGCGGCGAAGTCCGTGAGTTAGGAATTCGCGACGACAATGTGGAACCCTTGTTCTGTGTTCAGATCGGCAAGTTGCTGTGCTCGAGCTTGTTGCCTTCGTAATATGATACCTGAGCCAGCACTCATCTTAGGGCTGCAGCCGTCTCTTAGGTGGCCAAGGAATGGCCTGCGGTCAGCTAGAACTAACTGGCCTTGGCCGACCACTGGCCATTTCCCCTCATTTTTTCCCCAACTCCTGCATAAGAACTGCGGCTTCCAAAGAAAATGTGAAATCTCTGATTTAGCAGTAATGAAAAAATACTTTGTCAGAAAATATCTACACAAGTTACAATAGAGGTTGATTCAGATATATCTTTAATACCGATCAATAGAGAATAAATACTACAACATCCTTGTGTCTCACAAAATTAGGTAAGTAGCATATACTATAGTATAATGAACATTGATTGATCAATGTACAACCTTTTCCTCTATCATAATAATGCTAGACAAAATGTACATATATTTTGTTACTGTGGAGAAATTGTAAATAAATAGCTGAATAAGCATGACAAAATTCAGATTGATATTTCATTTACGAGCAAAGTTATAATGACTATACATAGTGATAGATTCCCATAGGGATCCAGCCAAGCCTGCCTGAGGGCTTGCGGTTATCAATCGCGGCCTTAAAAAGGAAGTGTTTGTAAGCACTTGAAATTAATGGAAACTTTTCATAATATTTTAATATAAATACTCAAATAAGTACTCCAAGTCAATTAATTTTCCATCGCAGATTTAACCAATCGCAGCCAAGGTTTGGAACATAACACCCAGGATAGGTGCAGGATTATTGCATATCCTATAAACGCTACTCTTATCTGGCATCAATTATCATTATAGTTCAAAGCCGTAATGTAACAAGCAGCTGTATCGTGGCGAATCGCCCAACCTCAGAAGAATTCCAACTCCCAACATTTAGCCTATTCCACCACATTTAGCCTATTCCAGAGTCGCGGTTGAGCCATGTCACAAGACAGACGTGCGTGCTGCGCGGGCTAACAGCTTGCCTTTTCACTATGCGGTTGAACTGTATTATCGCATTTTGTATTGAAACGTCTCACTAAAAGGACTTGAAGTGAAGTCAGTGAAAGAGAATGCAAACAGAGAGTGGAAGTAAATAGCGGTTCCCTGTTTTTTCATGCTAAAAAACGTGGGTAAATCTAGTGAGTGATGGCACCTTGTGTCGAAGATATGCGAAGTGCCCTCTGTTAAGCCTACTCTGTCGAACCGAGCTCCGTCAACTTCACCCTTGCCTCTCCGTCTACCTCTACGCTGCCCGCCATCCAGGGACCCTTATCCTGCCCCTCACCCTTTCTACCCCTCTGCTGCGAGCCCTTCATTCCCTCAGCCAACCCCTCTCCCCTCGCTCAGCTGTTCAGCTGAGTCCCCTTGCTCAGCTAGAGCCTAGAGTTGTAATTTTTGACAGAACTTTAACTCTACTCAAAGTCAATTCAGTTTCAAAATTATGTGTTTTCCATGCATTGTATTTTTAATTTCCAATTCTGTTTTGAATAGAATTTTAACTTCAACTCTACTCAAGTCAATCCAGTTTTTACACTTGTGTTTTCCTCCGTGCATTGTACGATGGCTGGACAGAGGAAAAAAAAGTAGTCGAAAAGCCCTCTAGTTCTGCTAGACAAAAGGCTAAAATCAAATCAGCTAAGTCAGAGATGAAAGTTTGCAAACACTGCAAAGAGATCTCTGTGAGCAAGGCAGATCAGACTGTCATGTGTGAATGCTGCAAAGACTTCATTTGCATCAGCTGTTCAAAGTTGAGCTCTAATGAATACTTGTTTCTCCAGAAAACTAAATTACTTCATTGGTTTTGTCGTGACTGCAAAGAACCAACTATTGGTATTCGAAAAAGCGAAAAACCGGTGGAAGAGCAAGGCAATGAGACAAAATCGTTGAATGATGTTGTAAACGCCTTGAGTGAGATGGTGCGCTCGCTGAGTGAAAAATTGAGCTCGCTTTGCAATGAGCTGACTGAAGTGAAGGCTCAGCTGAAAAATACTGAAAATGTTGAGGTCAAGTTTCAGAGAGTTGATTTATCCGAAGTTGCTATTGAAAGCTCACGCGAGTTACTGGACAGAGAACGTAGAAAGTCCAACTTGGTTTGGTTTGGAGTTCCCGAGAGTTCTGCATCTGATACGAAGGACTGAGTGATGGCCGATACAAAATTTATTGAGGAATGCTGTAGCAAGGCACTCAGCTCACCGGTTGATATTAAATCGTGCAAGAGGCTACACTCGAAGGACGCTGCTGCCAATACATGCAGGCCTTTGTTGGTGACTGTAAAGGATCCTGCACAGGTTGGAAGCGTGCTGAAGGCAGCAAGAAAGCTTGGATAATCTATTGAGTACAACTCCGTTTTTGTAAAAAAAGATTTCACCCCTTTGGAGAGAGAGAATTTTCGCAGGAAATGGCAGGAGAGAATCAGGCAGAAAGGCACGGAAAATCAGGTCAACCACTCTCGCAATGTCAAGACAACACCGGCCGCACAAGATCAGTTAGCGGAGCTGGAAGACAAGTAATAGTTCAAGTTCACGTTATAGAAAATTTCTCGAAACCAGGGTACAGATATTTTAATCAGTGTAATTGTACAGTGGGATGTTTTATGTAATTGTACAGTGGGAGTTAAGATTGGGAAGACTGTAATGTGGTAAAGTGTGTTTTTTTGTTGGACGAGGTTTTTATATTAAGTCATAATTGTAATTGAGGGTGAATAAGCCAGCCAAGCCTGCAACAAGCCTGCTGTTGGTTCGATGCCTCGTTCCGAGCTCGAATGTCTAGTTATTTGCTTACAAGTTCATCTCGATTATAATTCTGAAGCTTATACAGCCGCAGGGAATTGTTATTTCCACAGCACAAATATAGGTGCACCCACTCAATATGCGGGAGTAGCACTGGACAAACTGGTCGTGCGTGTACTGCGTGAGATGTCGTGGCGGCACTCATTGGTCGTGCGACTCGTGCGTGTACTGCGTGAGATGTCGTGGCGGCACTCATTGGTC